ACCTATAAATGGATGTGTAATCATGTTTAGACTCTACGAATGAATTCCTATCAAAAGTAATCCTCTCGAATTATCAATAGAAGGTAATCTTTCTAGAAAGTAAACCATAGAAAGTAATCCTCTAGAATTATCCATAAAAGAAAGAATTCATTTTCAAAGATGTGGTCTCAAATTTCACCAAGAAAAAGAAAGAAAATGTGGTCTCAAAATATGCATGAAAATATCGAGAGAGGATATTTTTCAGATCTTCTTTGTGAGAGTTTTGTAAATATTCTAATTATATCTGTTTATTGTATATTATGTGATTAATTTTCATTAAATACTATTTATATTTAATTTTAAATAAAAAAATTATAATAATTTTTTATTGTATGATATATGATGAAGTGATATAATTAAATAATCAATAGAATCCTCCTATAAGCAAGCGAGAATACTCTCTCGAAAATATCTAACTTCCACCAGCAAAAGTAATGGCATGCATGCCACGTCACACCCTCCAAAAATCAGCCACATCCTTATTGCCACGTATGTGTATGTGTGTGTGTATAGAATTTGAATCATTTCCTCAGCTAAAGAAGAAGATCCTCCTGATCTATTATCGTAAGTCGTTGAATTTTTATCCAACGGTTATAAACAGGATGATTCATTTAAAGTTATAATAATTGTAACTGTTGAATAAAATCTGACGATCCACGATGATAGATTAGAAGGATTCTCTCCATTAGCTCAAGAGGGAGGATCCAAATCCGTGTATATAGGTATCGTTTGGTACGCAGATAGGATGGGACGGAACGGAACGGAGCGGAAGCAAAGATGCCCTCGGATGGAAACAAGGAGGAAGAAGAACGAGACGAAGAGGTTATAATTTTGTGTTCCACGGATGTGGAACGAGTCGTTCCAGGGGGTGAGGTGGAACGAAAATTCACCTAAAACTCGTCCCGTGTAACAGCTCGTTCCACCCGTTTTAGGCACACCAAACGTGGGACGGAACGCCTTATCCCACTCTGATCCGTCCCGTCTCACGTACCAAACGGTACCATATATCTTACCGATCCTCTTCGGTTTCTTTTAATAAGAAACTTGAAAAATCGTGAATTATATATGTTTATGGTAAAATTTTCGGATTTCTTACAAACAAGTTCCAGAATCGAGATTCCATATATATATATATCCTTTTCTGCTCGTGTGAATATCTATCTGGAATATTTTAGCATCAAGCAAAACACTATAGCCTACAGCTAGAAATAGTTGTGTGTGTGTCAAAAATGGCGGATGAGGTTGTTCTTCTGGACTACCGGGCAAGCATGTTTGGCATGAGGCCCAGAGTAGCGCTGGCGGAGAAGGGCGTCAAGTATGAGTACAGAGAGGAGGACTTGAGGAATAAGATTAAGAGCCAGCTGCTTCTGCAGATGAACCCGGTTCACAAGAAGATCCCGGTTCTCATTCATAACGGTAAGCCGGTCTGCGAGTCACTCATCATTGTGCAATATATTGATGAGGTTTGGAGGGATAAAGCTCCTTTGCTTCCCTCTGAGCCTTACCAGAAAGCTCACTCAAGGTTCTGGGCTGATTTCATTGACAAGAAGGTAACTTAAATTGTCTGAGTTGTTTCTTGTCCTAATTAATTGTTTGTTTTTTAGGTTCATGTTAGGATGTGATTTGGGGTTTTCATGATTTTCATTAAAATTTGATATATATGCGGTAGAGCTCACATTCTTTTCTTTTGGATGAATAGTCAGTTGAGGTACAATCTTCAAGTCTGTATTCTTAGATTATTTTCAACCGAGGGTTAGCCAGAGAGCTCGTTTTAGTTTTTCGGTCTTTCAAGATATTAATATTTTAATAAACAGTAAAGGATCATATTTGTCTCTATTTTCAACCGATGGTCAAATGGCTATAGGGCTCGTTTTAGCCCTATCATAAGAAATCATCTCCAACCAAGGGGTAAAAGGTCATAGAGCCAAATATAATTTATTAGTTAAAAACTACAACTTAAATTCAAATCCAACGGCTAAGTGATGTCAACTAGCCGTTGGATTTGAAATTTTTTTTACTATAAATAGGGTGGATATTGAGCTATAATTCACGCAACTTTGAATTCAATCTTTCAATTCAAGTTTCCAATGAATTCTAACTTTGGATCCTCTTCAGATTTCAACTCGGGGTTCTCATTCAATTCCAAATTGGAAGCAAATGAGATGAGAAGATAAGGAGTATAATGAAATAGAAGTTATAAGAAAAAAATATAATTTAAAAAAAATATGAAACAAATTTTGTGAAATAGAAGTTATAGAAAACAATAAAATTTAAAATAAAATGAAACAAATTCTGGAATTTAAAAAAAATATGAAACAAATTTTGTAAAATAAAAGTTATAGGAAAAATTTTAGCTTAATTTTGTGAAATAGAAGTTATAGGAAAAAATTCAAATGCAACGGCTAGCTGAAGTCAGCTAGCCGTTGCATTTAAATTTTAGCTTAAGCATTTATGTCAGTTATAACCGACATGATTAATGCATTTTTTGGCTAGCCTTGCAACCTTTTAGTCTTTTCAGATTCCGTGGGGCCCTCTTAGATTCCACGAGCCCTTTGTCCTAGTCCTTGGTTAGAGACGATTTTCGGTTCTCTAGATCCTTCAGTTGAAGATGGCCTTAGCATAAATAGTTTTACATGAGGCGCAAAATACAAATTTTTATAGTCTATGTGGAGGCATTATTCTAAAAATTCTCATCTAATGTCGTCTAGCTCACCTAGGCGTTAGACCGTTAGCCATCGTTCTGATTAGTTTCTTGATGCTAGGCGGTTGCTTATCGTCCTAATTAATTCTTAAGCATTTTAAAATTAATAAAAAATACATAGACTCGTTTAAATAAATTGGATCATTCTTCATATTACCAATTGATTTTACGATGGAATTTCAATTTTTTTCATGATAACAAAGCATGGTCCTCGCAAGAAGCTAAACGGTTACACACGTTTCACGTTATCCTGTTGTATTGTTTACGTGTTAAGTTTATAAATTTACCACACGTAAAGTGTTGTAAAGAGCTTGTTGAGAATGAATTCCACGTCGATGAAAAACCTTGAATGAGCTTATAAATAAATTGGGCTAATTTCTATATTTTCAATTAGTTTTACGGTAGAATTCCGACTTTCTTTACAAATCTCTCTTGCATGCCTCGTTAATTTTCATGAACAGCTTTTGTGATCTCTGCTATTTTGTGATCCATTTCTTGCTACGTAAGTTCAATCATTGGAACTTACAAAACCCTATCCAAAATAGCCGCGGGAATTAGAAAAGAAGTCAAAATTTAATTAATCCACTGAATTCAAAATTTAATTAATCCCACAGAACTCGCTATAGCAATGATCTGATGCAATCTTGTCTTAAAATTGCAGCTATATGATGCTTGCTCGAAGATATGGTCCACAAAGGGAGAGGAACGAGAGGCAGCAAAAAAGGACTTCATCGAAATCCTGAAGCAGTTGGAGGGACAGCTTGGAGACGAGCCATATTTTGAGGGTGAGAAATTTGGGTTCTTGGACATTGCTCTCATCACGTTCTACTGCTGGTTCCATGCATTTGAGACCTGTGGAAAATTCAGCATCGAGGCCGAGTGTCCCAAGCTCATTGCATGGGCCAAGAGGCGCATGCAGAGGGAGAGTGTTTCCAGATCTCTTGCTGACGAAAAGAAGGTCTATGAGCTTGTTCTTGGCGTGCAGAAGATGCTTGGTGTGGAATAGAGGGAGAGATATCAATAGGCTGCTGGCTAGAACGTCAGAGTCCTAGAGTGAAGTGTGAATCTGTGTCTTGTTTAATTTCCTTCCTTTACGTATCCTGTTTTAGTTTCTAGTGAGATATATATTATGGTGAGACACTTTGATGCGTCTTTGGAATCTTGTGTGAGGAGAGTATAGATGCATGGCTGCGTCCGGTTTAATTTGTTTAATTTCTTTCCTTTATATATCTTGTTTTAGTTTGTAGTGAGATTTTATGGTGAGATACTTTGATGTGTATTTGGAATCTTGTGTGAGAAATGTAGATCCATGCGATTAGCATGATAGCGAAATAGAACTTTGATGCGTCTCGCCATATTATAAAGTTTTTCTTTTTGTTTTTACTTGGAAGACATTTTTCTTCCATGTCTTGCCAGTTGCATGGCGTTGGAGACCACTTGTTATTTTTTTTGGAGCTTTGAGATTTAAGCATAAGGAACACTGAGGCATTTCAGTCTTTTTCTGATCATCATTGTGTGATTCATCAATGTTAAGCATCGAGTGTCGTGTGTCATTTGTAACCACGATTGTCTATTGATACAATTGTTAACTAATATGTTAAGTCAATGTCATGTAACTGAAAGATTTTTGTTTTCACACAAACTTGAAAACAATAACCAGTAGAAAACAATAATTAACCTTATACATATAAAACAATATAGCTAGTAGAAAACAATAATTAACCTTATACATATAAATAAATAATTGAAAATACGAAATTTTTTGCTCCTACCATTGTAGATGGTCTGAACCGAAATCAGGGCGTGACGCCCAGCACGCCCTGATTTCGGTTGGGGTGTGTCAGACCCATCGGGAAGTTGCTCGTGTGAGTTCCCAAAAACAAAACCGTGAGGGAATGGTAAGCCCAAAGTGGACAATATCGTGCTACGGTGGTAGAGTGGACCCGGAAAGTGGTGCCACTCGGGCCGGGATGTGACATGGTCTAAGTTGACAACAATTTGACAATTAACAATAAAACCAAACAAATCAATCATACGACCTAGCTATATCAAGTTGTCACACAACGACTATCAAAGAAGACTATTTCCGAGTTAGAGTATGAGTCGTTTATTAGCAATAGAAATTATATTATATTATATATATACTAAACGGCTAACTTTCCTGTTAATTCTCTCTGTGTCCTTTTTACTGTTTATTCACCAGTGTTCTTCCAATTTTGCCCTTCAGTTGTTCTGTAAGTTTGGCTTTTTGTGTTTATCATACAGTAAAATGCCGTTTTTGTCCCTGCTTTGCGTAGAAATCTCTCGATTTTTCTTCGTGTTGTGTGCTTCCAGCATCTTCCACTTTTCACTTTACTCTGCTTTCCTTCTCTTTCCGTTTCTCTCATCCTAGAACGGAAGAACGATGGAAAATCAGGGTTCTTCCATTTGCTTCCACAGATTTCTCGATCTCTCTCGAGCTCCGGATCGCTAGCCTTCGTATGAAGGTTCGTCTCTCTCTCTCTCTCTCTCACTTTTTTTTTTTTTTCAATTCATGATCGAATTTTCTTTCCAAGAATGTTACATCTGTTGCCTTCGGGAAGAAAGTTTAAACCTAAAAAAGCTTGGTTTTCAGGAAATCGTGAATCCTGCAGAATCCTTGGGTTTCCTGGTGAGTTCTCCGGCATATTTGTTTTGGGTTTGGTTTTTGAATTCTCTTTTCTTTCTTCAAATTTTTGTGATTTTAAAACCTCTCGGTGGCTACAGATTTCATCGGCTATTTCATCAGTTTTTGGATTCGATCAGGATCGGTTTTTTACCCATGAAATCTAGAGTCATCTGGTAAGTTTCGTGACTTTCTCCTTGTTGCTGTTTCAAATTTTGTTTTTGTGGTTTTCGATGTTCACATGGAATTTTTGTTTGAATTTTGTATTTGTGATTTTGCGGGTTGTTTTGAATTTACAGATGGCTTTTTCTAGGTTCGGTGAATTTACAGGGGAGAGGGAGAGAGAGGCCTGTTGAGGTAAACTCTTTTGCTAAAAGCTTCTAATTCATCCTTTATTTCTTTTTTCATCTGGGCAAAATTTATGATGGATTTATGTTTTTTTTTTTCCGTTGAATTCGAACTCCAATCTGAATTATGGATTCAGAAAAAACAAATTGATGAATTTTTTATTTGCGTGCATGTCGGTCCTGTAACCGCATGATTTGATAATCCGACCGCAAAGCTAATCGTTTCTGTATGTTTTTGGGTTGCAGACCTGGACTGTCGAATGGAGAGGATGAAAAGCAACTGCAGGAAAGCGGCAATGGAGACCCGGCATCAGCATTTTCAAGTCGATATGGGTAATCTCATAGCCTTCGACCCTCATCACAGATTCCCCTCCATCCCCTTCTCTAAGTTATTTTTCTTTACTTATTCAATATCTCTATTTTTTGGTAATATTTTGTGTACTTCTGGGCTTTTTGAAATTATTGCTTTTGAGAAATTAATTGAAAATTTACTTTTGGAAATTGGGATTTTATTTGGATTAATCCAATCAGTAAAGTGGCAGTCATAAGTGAAATAATGAATTTATCACACTATGCTGATGGGTTTTTGTTCAGTGGGTGAAATTCTGATTTGTTTTTTTCATGGTATTTAGGGAGGAATTAGTGAAGGAATGTATAAAGAGAGGGACCGAGTTGGTTTAAGCTATTGCGAATAGTCTTTTCAACTCACATTCAACTGAAGGCATAGACGGTCCCATTGTGCACATGTTCACTTCCTGAAACTAAGCTACCAAGATAGAAAGCATGTGAGTCATTCATCTTATGATTCTCCAACGATTTTATTTTATTTTATTTTATTTTATTTTATTTTTTATTTTTATTTTTATTTTTTAGGTTTGATACTGTATATGAGTATTTGGTAGTGAAACATGTATAGTGCTTCACAATTGAAAAGAAGTGGAATGGTAGTTTCAGGTAATTGTCGAGATTTTTGTTGATCCTCTTTTGTTGTGCTGCCAATTTACGGTTCCTATCATGTAAATTGGTTGACTAAAATGTTAGCGTATGCAAAAAGCCTTTTGCCAAAACAAAGGGTAAATCATTACTGACACTGTAGGAATTTTGAAACGTGTAGGTGGACCGTATTTGATTGAGAATAAGATACCGTGCAATATCGATTTTGGCATGAATGTTGGGGATGAGGTATATATCTTAAACCAGATTACTTAATTATAGTTAAATTAACTTTTTTTTTTTCTTTTTGTGTTATGTAGCTGAAGCAGCAAAAGTTGAATGTTTTAATCGGTTGTATATATCACCCAGTTTACCTGTTCCTACTGCTGCTCAATAGGGATGAGTTTCACAGCAGGTGAGAGAAAATTTTGAGTTCTTAATTTTCTATTTTCTGATTCAAATTTGATGGTATATCTGATTCAATTGGAAGACTAAGCTAAAAGTACAAGTGGTATTTTTTGGTTAATTTGTTGGTTTTTTGGATGGCTCTTCTGGGTTGTTGTTAATTGTATGTTTTCTGATTGAATTTGGCATCAATTTATCCAATGGATTAGTGAGCTAAAACTACAAGTGGGGTTGTTTTGATTTTTGGGTTGTTTAATTTTCTGTTATTTTATTATGAGAAAATAAGGATTTGAACATGTTAATTAGCTAAGAATTAGTTTACATTGGACAATATATATGATTTTGGATTCGTGTTAGTGTAGCTAGGGACAATTATATCTGTGGATAGATGTTGGGTTGGAAGGTCTACTCATAAAGAAGAACAAATCTAAGGGTAGAGTGAAACTGAAAAGCAGCCAAACTTAAATTGTAATTTGCCAAAGAGCACGATTGGCCCTTTGTTTTAAAATTTTCATACTTCTCATTCTTATGTACCCTTATGTATCGGTAACATGTATTCAACTTTAAAACTTCATCCGAAATCATTTGGTGGGTGTTTGGAATTTTGGAATTAGATTTTCAATTTGGTTTGTGAATTCCTAACTTTTAATCTCATTTGGGTCTAAGCCTTTAGCTGTTTTTGTTATGACATAGGTCGTTGATTGCATATTGTTAATTTGATACATTCTGTTTGTGTTAGCTCCAATTTCTTTCTTTAAGAAAACCACTTGGTTGGTTTTAAGTTTTTTGTACTTTTTGTTGTTCTGTTTGCATAAAAACATGTTTTACAAGCTTGGAGACTGATCTGAAATCATTTTTTGGAGACTGATCTGAAATCATTTGGTGGATGTTTTTAATCCCAATTGGAGAAGACTCTTTTTGCTCTAAAGTTTGTTATTTGACAGAGATTGCAAGTATAACATAGTGTTGTGTTGGATTAAGGATAACCTGAATACAGGACAACTATATAATATGGTTCAAAATAATGAAATGTCGTACTCAACTACCACCACATAAATTCAAATCTAAACTTCTGTTGTAAAATAAAAGGCTAATGTAAATGGACAGAGACAGAGGAAACCTATAATGTAGAATTGGCTCTTCTCTGAAATGTATATTGTTTGAGAACTATTATCAATTAACTTATTTTTGTAATTCAACCTATCTATAAACATCTTTGCGTTTTTGTAATTGTATTTATGAAATTAAAACAATTTTGGACATCTTTGGTTTAAATTTGTATAAATGATCTGTGTTGGCAGTTTAGTTCAGTCTTTTGTTATTTTTAATTGTATTATAAAGTTGAAATATGTGCTGGTTATAGATTTTGTGTTCTGCTATATAGTGGTTAAAAAATGGGATAATTTTCATGAATAAAATTTCTGCATTGTAGGTTTTCCCCTTTGTTTCTATCAATTTACATTTACTTTCTGTTTTACAAAACAATTTTATACTTTGTTTGATAACGTTGGTTTTCATGGCTTGCAGTTAAGGATTGGTACATAGGAAATCAGCCAAAGAATCTTGTTGTACAATCATTGGTGGTGCAATTTTTTGCTCTTTTATTAAATTGTCCATTCCTGCCAAATTTTAAACGGTGAGAGTGCAACAATTTTATTTAAAATTTATTTTCCTTATTTCACACTCCCAATCTCACAATATAATCTTTTTCTCGCTCAGTGTGTGTGATTTTGTTGTTTTTTTGTTTTCTTTGTAGAATTTCTGTGTGTTACTCTCACTCTTATTTTCACTCTTGCTCACAATCTCACAATATAATATTTCTCTTCCTCTTACTCTTACTCTTACTCCGACTGTGACTCACAATTTCATACTTGCTCATTACTTTTGGTCTCTGACATGGTTTCAATTAAAGACGATTTTTTTTCACAACATAATTTACACTTGCCGTTGCTGTAGAAAAGTTAATTTCTGGTAGACAGATGATTTTAGTGTTGTTCCTATTATGCATAAGGTTGTGGTTATAATATTGTGAGATTTTGTGTCTGCATAAATCCAGTAGTGGTTTTGATAATCAAAAAGTAATCTCTCAACTTATCATCAGGTGCTTAAAGATTTGAATTTTTAAAGTGGTTCCACAAAACCTGTAAAGTGGTTCCACAAAACCTGCACAGTGGTTCCACAAAACCTGCAAAGTGGTTCCACCAAAATATGCAAAGTGGACGTTATGTTGCTTGCAGCAGTAGATTGTTCTTTTCTATTTAAGTTGTAAGCTTTGTTTTCTATTTGGTAACTGTTGTTTATTATTGGTCGTTTCAAACTATTTATTATGTGTATTAACATTTTCTTTCATTTTTAGCTTCCTTTTTTTTTTTTTTTTTTTTTTTCGTTCTTTGTGATGATCAAAACTATTTTTTCTGCAGTGACTGCTTCAACCAAAAAACTTTTGCTCATGTGTAAAAGGATGTTGGCATCTGTTATCCAAAACAAACAAGTATGGGATCACATTTTTTCGTGTGTAAATAGTTGATCCAAACATGAATTATCAAGGTGGAATACTAGGTTAATCATTTTTGTATACTAATAAGGCATTTGATAATGTCTTTTCTGTAAGTTATATAAATTTTGACAGCTTTGTAAATATAATTATTCCATTTTCTGTTTAGTATTTATAACACTTTGCATATTTACATGTTAAAACATACTCTTATAATTATACTCGCAACAACGTGCGGGTAAAATTTACTAGTAAATACTATAACCAAGACAAGATAGAAAATAATTAAAATAAAATTATTTAGGGTAAATATCTGTGAAATCCCGTCCCCTGATTTCACTATTCAAAATTACGTATTCCGTATTTCATATTCATATTAGTAGTTTTGACGCGTTTATATTTATTGCATATAAAAATTTTATTTGATAAGTAGAAGGATGAAATTGCCCTTCTTGTGTTAAATGAGATTCTTTGTGGGCATACTTGATCTTTCCATAATTTTCTAGATTTCTTTGTATATTTGGATGGTACGTATCGATACGAACGCGTGGGCGCAAATTGAACGTAATTTGGAGCTTTAACGAAGGAGTTATAAACGAACAAAGTTGAGGGCAAATTGGTCATTTAACCATACATCTAGAAGCTCCAGATTTGTTGGAGCATCAGTCTTGTGCCACGTGTGTGGCTGTGATTGAAAGAAGGATAGAGATGGACGGTTAAGATGGAAAGATGAGAAGAAGAAAAATAATAATAAAATAAAATATGAGAAATACGGAGAGAAAAAGGGGAGATGGATCGAGAAGCAAGGAAGGGGGTTCTCTCCGGTCGGGGATTATGGACCAGACCCATCATTCCCTTTTCCTTGGCTCCAAACTATGCCGTCGCAAGGTATGGCTGCCCAAATTCCATAGAATCAGAAAGCTTACTGCTATAAGTTCCTCTTCTGCCTTTGTTTATATTTTTTCAATTTGATAGCCGATTGTTGTTGTGGTTGTCGTATTTATATATCAGAAAGGATTCCGAGGTTTCCTTTCATTTTTCACGGTTGGTATATGATGATCATTACATCATACTATATGTGGCTCTTACTATTGGGAGATAGTCTCTTTGGTTTTGTTTGATGAACACCTATAACTCTGCTACTTTGGTGTGTCTTTTCTCAGTTGTTACCTAACATCCCAGGCTAGAAGACAACCACGATGATGGTTGACGCTATGTATGTATAGCCTTATTTGAAATTACCCATTTATCATGTTGCATTTGTTGCTTTAAAGTTAGTGAATGCATTAATGTAATGTTGATGATGGGGAATCGACATTTATATTGTCTCATAATATGAAATTGTTTCTCTTTATATTTAGTACAATTTTGCTAGAGTTGTTTGTATACATCTAGTCAGACGTGGTCCAGATTTTGTCTTTGTGATGACAGTGAATAGCCATTGTTGATGAACATATGGATTCCATCTCATTGGTTTAACATTATCAGACCTTTCTGCATATGTCTGAAGTTGAACGAATCCTTATATGTATGTATAAAATAATGAAGGGATGAAATTGTTTTCGTATTTACCGTATATATTTATCTATGTATGCATATTCAAGGGAACTTACTTATATCCCTGGAAATATATATGCACCAACTGCCAAGGCTTTTATATATAGGTACATTTATATTTGTAAATAGCATCTTCACTTATTTTCTGTAAGTGTTTTCATTCAAATGTTACATTTATTTTGATCATGCTAATTTAAGTTAACCAAAATAGTACTTGGATCTCATAGTGTTATTAGTAGTCCCAAGTAATCTAATTAAGACTAGAGTCGAAGGTGATGCATTTAGTAATTGCATATACTTGAGAATAGGAGTTAATCGAGGTCGTGGATGCTTGTAGTAATAATTTGAAACAATGCTTTGGAACCTAGATGGGAAATCAAAAATGGATGGTGTATGTGCTCATGTTGTAAATCATAAGTGTGCAGGTAGGAGGTAGGTTGTGTGTTGGTTTGATTGCATCATGTAGCATTGGTACATGGATGGTTCTGTTTGGTATATCCGCGTTGGGGGACCATATGTATTTCAGGGGTGATCATGCTTGGTATATCCGCATTGGGTGATCACCGCCTGCACGATTAAACTATGCTTATGGTCCTGCTTGGTATATCCGCGATGGGGGACCATATGCATTCTAGGAGTGATCATGCTTGGTATATCCGCGTTGGGTGATCACTACCTAGAGCTATATGATACAGTCCTACTTGGTATACTCACGTTGGGGGATTGTTAGGGTGATCATGCTGGGTATATTCGCGTTGGGTGATCACTGCCTATGTTATTAGACTATGCATATAGATGCGTTGGGGGACTGTTAGGGATGATGATGATTAATTGTACTTGGTGCGTATGAAATAAGGGATCATAGTTTAGTTGGATTTTGTTGAGTGGTCCAGAATCTTTGCTCTTGCTCATTTCCTTAAGGTTAAATTTGTGTGAGTGGGAATTACCCACAATAGACATTGTGAAAATAAATTAGAATTACCATGTTTATTATTTATAATTCAAGTAGGGAATTATAAAGAGTTCCTTAATAAAATTTGGGAAATTATATGTTTTTTTTTTTTTTCATTGATTGATTAATGTAGTTAGACGTTAATATCGGGCATCTTTGATTCATGGAATTGATTAATTGACGTGATTGTGGAATGATGTTCGGTATGATTGAGATTATTATGATTAGATTAGTTGATTAATGTGACTTGAGAATAACACTGTAATATGATTTGCTGTATTATGTGAAACATTGTGATTTATATGATGGATGAATTGGAAAGCATCTGTGTGAGAATGGCTTACCTGCGTGCATGGAAAGATGATAATTGTTGTTTGGCTTAAGGTTGATGTGTAGTGTGGTGCTCTAAGATTTTATGCGAGAAGTATTTTACGAAAATGTTAGAGATTGACGAATGGTGAACTACGAATGGTTTGATCCCTATTGAGGGTACGTAGACTGTCTAACAAGGAGGTTAGATGCAGCCATAAAATATACGAAAATGCTATGAAATTCGAATCTTGATCTATGCTTTGTACATATCCCGGAGGCAGGAAATGTTAGATGTACAGGTAATTGGTGATGTCAAGCGTCGATTCTGGACATATGTCGAGATCGGGGCATGACAATATCAGTTTACTACCCTTAAGTTTCGTGGTTTTCAACATTTGGTACATGAAGTTTTTTTCGTACCATAATCATACCTAAAGCGTGAATTTTGGGACAATCTCATATATCTGTTAGTCAAACTGTTAACTCTGCCATTAATTGATGATGTGGCGCCTAAGTGGACGCCACATGTCATTAAGAGGTCCACATGGAAATTAAAAATTCAAAAAAATAATTATTTAAAGAAAAGTTAAAAAAATAAAAATAAAATAAAAAATAAAAAAGCAAAACCCAGATCATGGGTTTTGCAGTTGGATAGAGGGAGAGGGAGGAGTAAAGGGGATCCCTCGCTGAGGGTTTCGCAGTCGGGAAGCCATGCTGAAGGAGAGGGAGAGGGAGCCAGAGATAGAGACAAAGCGACAGAAAGAGGGGAAAAGGGAAGAGTGGGGATCTCAGCGTTGTTGCTGCAAATCCTTGATTTTTTGAGTGGGAGAGGGGGTACACTCAAAGAAAAGCATGGGGGTTGTTGGGATTTGAGGGAGAGGCGTAGGGATCGTGGCTAGGGGTCTGGGTTTGTCCCTTTGGCAAAGGGTGTGGGTTTTGTTTTCAAGTCGCACACCCACCACCGCAAGGGTCCTGCCCGTTTCCGAAGTATGGGTTTAAAGGGAACGGTATGGGCTACACAGAAAGAGGTCGAGAAGCTGCCAATTGAGCCCATACTACCACCTACAGTGGAGGAGATGCGCGTCCAAGACATTTGGAACAACTGCGCCATCCGCAGTGTCGTTAGTGGAGTTATGGGTATGGCTAAAGTTCTTTCCTTTGGCTTAATTTTTGGATTTTCTCACATGGGTTTTGATACTTTTTCGTCTTTCTTTGTTTGGTTGCTGAGAAAATGTGGGAAAGTTTACCATTTTTACTGTTGGTTTTATTTTGGTTGCCGAGGAAACGTGGGAAAATTACTGTCTTTTTGTTCGTCTGTTGCCTCGATTTATATATATTTTTTTCTTTTTTTTTTGGGGGGGAAGACGATCTGGGTTTTACCTTTTTTTTTTTTTCTCTCTTTAAATAATTATTTTTTAAAATTTTTAATTTCCACATGGACCCTTTAATGACACGTGGCGTCTAGTCATTGTCCACATAGGCGTCACGTCATCAATTAACGGCAGAGTTAATAGTTTGACTAACGGATGTATGAGATTATTCCAAAATTAACACTTTAGGTATGACTTTGAGACGAAATAAACTTCATGTACCAAATGTTGAAAACCACAAAACTTGAAGTTAGTAAATTGATATTTACCCAATTATTTATAACTATTACTCAATACATCGTATGACATAACTAATCAACTGCCCTCTTATTGCAAAGGTAAGAACCCTAAATCGGACGGTTGAAGGTTAAAACTCATAAAAAGCACAAGATCAAGTACCCATATACTAAGCATCTACTCCCAACGTTTTCCTCCTTTGCAGAACGAAGTCATAGAGGTTTTTCTGGTCGGGAAGAGACTTGGACACAGTCTGCTTCTGCATGCACCTCATTGCCCATGCAAATAACTTTGGGTACTGTTCATACACGCTGAAGTTGCCAAACTTCTCATACACAAAAAACCAGCTATAGAAAGGGATAAGTGCCACGTCGACAAAACCGAAGGTCTCACCGCCAAAGTAAGGCTTGTTTCCAAGCTCTCCTTCTAACACCCTAATGCTTTCAAGGAATTCTTTCTTTGCTGCATCTAGCTCTTCAGCTTTGGTTGTCCATATCCTCCTTCCAATCACATGTATCTGCATTATATTGCACAAAATTTTAGGGTTAGACCCTTTTCATATCTTTACGATTTGAAGCAAGGAAGATCAAATTCTTGATTTATATTTTTCATAAATGGAGTCTTGATCCTTGACCTATCACCGCATTGTACTTTTAGTCCTTGAATTAAAATCCCCGAAAGGTTGGAACTGAATTGACAAAATTTGAAGCATGCATTG